TTGGATGCTTTTAGACATCTCCGGAACCTTTTTTGGGGGTTCGGTAAGAAACCGATTTTTTTTAGAGTGTAGAATAGACAAAATTGAGATAAAGATTTTTCACTGTTTTTGTAGTTATTTTATGCAATTATAGAAATGACTTATAGACTATCTTGTAAACATTTTCCTTGTCTGTATTTTGTACATTACCAAGAAAAAAACGATATAACCGTTTTCACTCTAGTACGTATCTTGTTGATCGAGCGAAAGTAACCATCCTAGACCCATTCGTTTTTATACCTTCAAACTAACGATTACTTCTTCAACAACAACAATATGAATGTAACAATATATACTACCACAGATGCATACAGCAAGTCACGTACAATAGCAAGTATCTATATTCTCTTATAACATACCATCAAACAATATAATTTCATTTCCAATGATGATGAGTCAATTCCATTGTTGGGGCTGACGAGGGAAGGTCCCCAAGTGAAGCTCCGCTTTTGAGGTGATGTTTTGCCCATATGTAGGTCTTAGTAAGACTATAAAAACTCCAAAAGAATTTGGATTTCTATGGCTTCCTTGTTGAGATGTAAAGTTCACATCCTCTCTAGCAATGATATTATTTATTTTGGAATACGATGAAATGCCGATTTTTTCACAACGGTATGAAATACAGACTTACAGTTTTTTTGCGTGAACCGCATTTCACACTGGCCATATGCAAAATACTTTTTTAATTCTGACAAAGACTCCTAACTACACATATCAAGCTTTCTTGCCTGACACTAGCTTGAATGAAAGAGAGCTTCCAAAATGAACCCTAGGTTTTTAAACGAGTCGTATATGAACATGCGCTTAATTTAATAAGCGATAGTATTCACTTTATTCTCTCCAGCAAAGACGACTGCTAAGATTCAGCCGTTAGATGTCTTTTATAATCGACAACATGAGATGATCTTACGCAAAGTGTTCGATCGTGTCATGCTTGATGAAATGGACATCAACCTATCGAACAGAAACAATATTATTAGGTGTGGGTGTGGGTGTGGATGTGACAAGCTCCACCTGCCCTGTCAGTATCACTTTGATCCGACCAATCAGTAAAGACTTGAATATATCTTGCGAGTTGAGCATTCCAGTGAGTCATTGATAATATGAGTAGACTCAGCTACTCAACCACTACCTGTCCTATGAGTATCACTTTCACCTGACTAAGTAGTAAACAACTGACCATACCTCGGGAGTTGAGCATTCCAGTGACTCATTGATAATATGAGTATACTCGGGTACTCATGTTTTACCTGTCCT